TYMAAAAAAAAAAAAAAGAGAAACAAAAAGTGTGACATTGTACAGATGAGAAGCCATATAATGGCGGTTTGGGGGAGCCTGCTAGAATGTCACACAGATGGCTGTCATAGGGGTTGTACATATCCTTTTTGTTCCTTTTTCCTGCTGCCATACTGTATGCAGTACTGCAAGCTAATAACGTTGGTTTGTTATGTAGTGTGCTTTTTGTCCCTTTCCTTCTATCACCCTACATTCCAGCATCTTACCTTCATATGCAGTAAAAGAAAGAAAGAAAAAAAAAAGGAAAAAAAAAAAAAACCAATGTTTTGCAGTTTTTTTCATTGCCAAAAACTAAATGGTGCTTTATATTTAGATTGGAAAGAATTTCATATGCAAAGCATATTAAAGAGAAAGCCCGCTTTAGTCAATACTTTTTTGTAAATGGCAATGCAGAATATTTTGTTATTGGCCTTTTCTATTCCTGTAATGAAAGCTGTTTGTCGTAACTTGAAATTTTATCTTTTACTATGGGAGTCACTATTTATTATTGCTTATGTGCCCTGTTCAAAACAGAGGCACTTAATTTGATCTTTTATTTTTCTTTGTTTTTATTTTTTTTTTATTTGGATGACCAAAGGTCATTACAACCTGGCTTTTTATTGTATTTGTTTCTGGTCTTTGTTAAGTTCTATTGGAAAAACCACTGTCTGTGTTTTTTTGGCAGTTGTCTGCATTAACCTGTTCATACACCCATTTTGTCCCTTTATTGAAAAAAATAAAAAAAAATTAAAGTACACAATGTAAGCTTCTTGTGTCCTCATTTGACACACTCTGTAAATTACCTTCAAGAAAATAACAGGTTTTAAGAGAAGGCCAGTCAGTCTTTTTCAAGATTATTTCTCTGGGCATTTTGATGCGTGTCTTATACCCTAAAGGAACTTACTTACTATATTAAAATAGACATCTCAAACCATGGATATAGTTATTAGGCTTTACAATTTTAGAATAATTTTCAAGAAACTGAAGGTGTTTTCAGTCTGATGTTAAAAACTTTTGCTCCATCTCTTAGCAGAAATCCATTCAGCTTATTAAGTGAAAAACTTGCTGGTAATAGCATCTTCAACTTTTATTTCCTTTGGATTTTTTGCTGTTCTTGTTGTCTAAAAGTTCTTTTCTATTTTCCCATCATTGTCCTATCTTAGAATGTGATGTAAAAACGGTTTTTTTTTTTTWAAAAAAAGAAATCAGCTCTTTAGTTTCTACCTAACAGTCATTCCTCATGACAAGAACGACCCCAGCCCTCAGACCTAAAAATCCAGAGACAAAGGCATCAATTAAACAAACAAGCAAACAAACCAAAAAAGGAGGGAGGAGAAAAATGAGCAGAAAGTAGCGACCAGGGGTAGCCAGACAGAGCCAACATTCTGGAATCAGACCCTGCTTTCTGGAGATGAGGGTGGCTTGCTTTGTGGTTCTGAGACCCCACAGACCTTACATGCGACAGATCATTTCCATGTTTTCCTAGGGTCTACCTGGCTGGCAGCAAGTGAGAGTGGGAATACCCTTCAGTTATCTTTCGACCAACCAACAGATTTATGCATTGTCTTTGAAAAGCAAGTTAGGCCTACTTTTTTAAAATCTCTTCTTACCAATCTGTGTTGTCGGTTTTACAAATACTGCATGTCGCAGCATCAATTTGCTTTATTACAACACATGCCTCTGTGATACTGTGTCCCTGTTCCCAGTGTAGATGAATGGATCCGACATTGTTCTTATTTTTGTAAAAACCAAAACAAAAGCTGTTCTGTTGTCTTCTTGTGGTAGCATTTTTTTTTCTGTTGCTCAGTTCTTTGCCCTAGTACCAGTTGAGGTGGTCTTTTCATGTAATGCCTTTCATCTAAGGCAAGAAGAGTTTTATCTTTTTAAAGTATAGAGAAACTAGTTTTTTTTTTTTTTTTTTTTTTTTTTTAAGCCAGTTTGGGTATGAATCAGAGTCCACTAAGAGGATTTTGGAGAACATTGCACAGGAGCTGAGATGGGATGGGGGCAGAGTACCTTGGAGAACTTGGTGTTTGTCAGTGAACTGAGAAAAGATGTGTGTGTTTTAGATTAGGTTACTCCAAAATGGAATCCAAAATGCTGTTTGAGACAGATAGAAATATTCCCCAGTGCCACGCCGGTTTTAGACATGCTGACTTCTGCTCCACCATATTAAATGGCCATAAAACTTCCGTGTGTCCCTATTGCTCTTTTATTAGGAGCTCTGGAGTGCAGCTGTGTAGGTTTTATATACAATATTCATTTTAATTTCTCAGTATATGATGCTCTTAGTGTAATTAGGTTTTGCATCTGACAGACAGAATTAATGGTGGATATGGTATACTTGTATGTTCAGATTTCTTAAATCAAATGGGGAACGGGGAGGGGTGCAAACATCTGGTGATAAATCACAGATTATGCTTGATTTACATGGTCCCAAAGTTAAATAAATTTATTGGGAGACAGGTTCTTCAGGTTACTTCACATGACTTACTGAAGCCTTCTGATAAAATATTATTTCTGAAGCTTACTGAACAATAGGAGCATGAAAACTTAAGTCAAAAAAATAAAACTTGTAAGTGACATTTTGCATCTGGAGTCCTAAAATTTAAAAATCATAGTATAAAATAATATTTTAAAAAGTTCTACAGTAAGATGAATTCCCAATATATTTTTAAAATGAAGAAATACTAAGAACAGTAATATCTCCCCTAAATTCYCAGTTAAGTCTTTGTAACTATTGATGTGCTTGCTGATGGAATGTTCCCTATGTACTCAAAATCCTGATGCTTAAGATGTTTCTTTTTATCTTCATTTTGAGAGCAACTTAACAAATAGGAATACAGCAAATACTCTTTCTCCCAGATTTGAACCCCAAAGCTCTTCCAGGGCATATACTACCTCCTTTCTGAGTCTGTTTGCTATCCTCTCGTTATTCAGGACCTGCAAAAGGACTGAAACCAACATGTCTTAAAGGTTGCTAAGAGGGGGGGTGAACCTGGGTCTTCATGTGTACCAGCTGTGGCAGGAAGTGTGAAGTGGTTTGAGTTTTTCCCAGAGCATTCTGTGGATAGAACTGTTTATTTAAATACCATTTTTTGTGTATGCAATAAGTCCATATTGTACATAACCATAGTACTTGAAGTGAGAATTCAAAAGGAAGTGGCAGAGAGAGGGGTTGATTTAGATATGATTTCATTTGGAGAAATAAGAAAAAGAGGTAGGTTATTCATAGACGCTAAAAGTTTTTAGGAAGGTACTAAGATTATTTGGGGCCATTCCAAAAAGGGGTTGAGAAGCCTTACTAATGCTGTCCTGCTTCTAGCACTTTACTCAGAGAGTGAGTAAGGGAGGAAATACAGTGTTTTCTGCTTTTAACCACCCCCAAATCCCGAACACACACACAAACATGATTGTTGGTGACTCTAGGAACTTTGCATTTGCATTCTCTACTGTGAATCTGTCACTCCTTTGTCTCTGGGCTTAGGGTGTTCAAGAATGCATCCATCTCATTTTTTTTTTTTTTTTAAAGACAACTTCCCTTAAAGAGATTGTGGGAATTTTGCCGATATAAGGATGGGATGGGCCATGTTCTTTCAACCTTGTTGGAAAATTGTTTTTGAAAAGACGGTTGACTTTTAAAAGGCATGAGCCACTTGGCAAATATTCCTTGGTGTCTCCTGCAGTCCGTCAGTCTTTCCAATGGAAAATAAACGAACGCATTTTTAGAGAAATGGACACTACATAGACAGAGTTGGGGTTGAGTACGTTTGTTCCAGGGCTCCTGGAGCTCACGCTGCAGACCCGAGTGGTTGGATCTCTGTTTGCTGGCGCCTTGGTGCCCCATTAGCACATGGCCAGGGAATCGGCCTGCAGGAGGACAAGACTGCTTCTCTCTCTCTCTCTCTCTCTCTCTCTCTCTCTCTCTCTCTCTCTCTCTCGTTCCCAGTGTCATCAATGATCATGGAATATGATTAATTCCTCCCTTCCCATTGGGAAAAGAGAGCAATACAGTTCACATGGGTCACTGTACTTTTAAGTACCTAAACTTGGCTGAACACAACTCAACGGTCTACCCAAATACTGTTTTTCCTTTCTGTAACATGGCAAAAACTATGTAAAGGAAGCACATGTATCTTTCAGGTCTTTCATATAGGCAGCAGAAAAGGCCAATGAAGCAATTTCCCTAAAGTTTCTTCTAAAACCGGCGCCCCCAGATCCCTAGGGGGCTGTGCTTTTAAATAACCATGAATGTGGTACATGCCCATGCTATACTTTGTCTGTTAGGGCTTTAAATAC